ATATTTAACTAATTTAAAACTTGATTTTATCTAAAAAAATATGTGAATATACATATGACATTTCATATAAAGTTATCACAATTTTTTGTCAATACTTGACTTTTTAAATTAAGAGTAGACTCTTTTCAAATAAGAGCAGACTCTTTTTCAACAAGAGTCGACTCTCATTAAAAAGAGTCGACTATACATAGCACTCTGAATGTTTTCAATTCTCTGGAATTTGGGAGTCGAATATCCACCATATATAGTCGACTCTTAAATGCTCGAGAGTCGAATCTTTGCTCCTAAATTCGACTCTTTACTTAAAGGCATATATATAATGGCCTTGACCAACTACTAGGGAAAAAAAATGTACTATGCAATTTTCAGCAACATAAGCCTTGTTGCTGATATAAATTTTCAGCAACAAGAGATATCTTGCTGAAAGTGGGGCTCAATTACATAGGAAAATGGTTACCAGAAAATATCAACAACATGGGGTATGTTGCTGAAATTTACTTTCAGCAACATACTCCTTGTTGCTAAAAGTGGAGCAACTTTTTAGGGAAAAAATGTACTATGCAACTTTCAGCAACATAAGCCCTTGTTGCTGATATAAATTTTCAGCAACAAAGGATCCCATGTTGCTGATGTATTGTTGCTTAAAACTTGAATTTTAGTAGTGTTTGCTATTTAATATTCATGTTTTGCAATCTCTGGCCCAGTGCAATTAATAAAATGAAATAATGACAAATTAGTGAAAGAGAGAGACAGTGGTAAGAAGACATTTGTTTCTTTTTTTCTGGGTTTGCCTAATCTATATTTTAATAGTATAGATTAATAGCGTAAAAAATATACTTTTTTGTAATTAATTCACATAAAAAATTATAAAAGTTAACATATGTTTTAACACTATTTACATGTGGATGACTTAATTAATTGATTAAATCGAAGTGAAAATTTATATTTTTAATAGAAATTAGTTTAAAAAAATGCATTATTACACTTTTAACTTGTGTCTGGGATGAAAAAGCTCTTTTTTTAGAGTTGAAGAATTAAAAAATGTTTTAAAAAGTTGAGACATTAAATTACGCAAAATCCTAAAATTGAGGGATCAAAACTAATATATAACCTATATTCTAATTGTTGAGACGTGTGTTAATTAGAGAATATACCAAACAATTTTTAAGATAAAAACTTGGCCCACAATAATAATTTTTTTCTGGTAGTTACAACTTGTTTTTGGTGAAATGGTAGTTACAACTTTATTATTTGATGTTCATTTTTTGTTATCTCTGGCCAGTGCAATTAATAAAACTAAAATTTGACAAATTAGTGAAAGAGAGAGACAGTGACAAGAAGACCCTTTTTTTTTTCCTAACATGTGTCCTAAGATTAAAAGTATAATAAATATACTTTTTATAATTAATTCACATAAAAATACAAAAATTGATATATTTTAACACTATTGACATGTGAATGACTTTAATTGATTAATTGATTAAACTGAAGTTAACATTTATACTTTTAATAGAAATTAATTATAAAAATGTGTATTAATTATGCTTTTAAGGTATATAATAGAAAAACTTTTTTTTTTTTTTAGAGTTGAGAGATCAAACAAATGCCTTAAAAAGTTAAGGAACAAAAACTATATAAAATCCTAAAGTTGAGAAACCAAAATTGACATTGGCAAAAACACTTCTTAAGCCCCCAAACTTATTCCAAAATAGCATTTAAGCTCTTGAATTAAAATGAAGCAGATAAGCCCTCTAACTTCACTAATGATGCAAATAAGCCTTTCTCACAAATGGGTCAAACAATATTTCATGTTTAATATCACCTTGAAGGCATGAACATTCAAGAATGAGAAGGGCTTATGTGTATCATTAGTTGAGTTGGAGGGCTTATTTGTTTCATTTTTAGTTTAGGGGCTTAAATGCTATTCTGGGGTAAGTTTGAGGGCTTAAGAAGAGTTTTTGCCATTGACATTTAATCTATATTCTAATAATTGAAAGGTGTGTTAAATTAGAGGATATACCAATTATTTTTAATATAAAAACTTTGCCCAAGATAACAACTTTTTTTTTTTTTTTGTGAAATGGTAGTTACAACTTTATTATTTGATGTTCATGTTTTGTGATCTTTGGCCCAGTATAATTAAGAAAATCAAAATTTGATAAATTAGTGAAAAAGAGAGACAGTGATGAGAAGACTTTTCTTTTCTTTTCTTTTCTTTTCTTTTTTAACGGTGTATGAATGTGGCATGAAGACTTTGGAGTATATATATATCTTAAAAAAATAAAAAAAATTTTAGCAACCAAACTTGCAAATACATAAAATGAAAGTGGTACATGAACTACATGGCAATAGTTGCGCTTAAACCTTAGTCGAAATCATCTTTGTAGTCCCTCTCCTACAAAAGAAGAAAATGTTTTCTTTAAGAAAGACCAAGACTAATTTTAAGTAAGAAAGACTGAAAGATTTAATAAAATTTCTGCATTCTTTAAAAATGAAAAAAAAAAAAAAAAAAAAAAACTGAAGACAAAGGATTTTGGCCCATTTTCACTTTCAAATTTTTTTAATTAAGTGAAAAGGAAAAAAAATACATGTACTACAAAAAGATGACAACTTGTCCCACAATAATAAATTTTCTGTCTAGTGGTTACAATTGTATTATTTGACCTTTGTGGTCTCTGGCCTAGTTTAATAAAACCAAATGTTGACAAAATAACGAAAGACACAGACAGTGGCATGAAGACTACCCTTGTTTTTTTAAGTCTTCGTCTTCTATATTACCTTACTTTTGGACTTCATTTAGCAATATTTTTTTCTTTAATTTTAAGTTTTTCTATTTTTTTATTATTTTTAAAAATATAAAATATTAATTAAAATAAATATTTAATATATTTAATATATTTTTAAGATATTAAAAAATTAAAAAATGAACAACTACAATTACATGCAATACTCTCCAATCTTCCCATGGTTTTAATGGCGAAACGAAATCTATCCTCACTTGGTCCGAAAAAAATAATAACGTAGGTCCACGTCCAACTTTATGATGACTTGTAGGGTTGAGTATGGTACGGTATGGTAACCGTACCGCACTCAAATGATGGTAACCGTTTTAAGTGGTAATGAAAAAGAGTTACCACTTTCATACCAATTAATGATTTTTTTATAATGGTTACCAACCATTTTTAATGGTAATGAAACTTGCTTTACCAATATCATACCATATTACCATCTTTAAACTTATTTTCTTCATTATCAATTAATTCAAGTCATTCAAAATTCAATCTTAAAAGCTCAAAATTATCTTAAAAACTTATTTTTCCCATACCGTTCTTCATCATCTTGAAGCATACAAATATATAATTATACAAAACATGCACATATCAAAAAAAAAAAAAAAAGAGAACTAGCAACAATTGAAAACTTTGTAGAATAGAAAAACAAAGAGGAAAAAGTTTTGAATGAGTGGTAAATTTGGTAACCATATGGTAAAAATGGTAATGACATCCAATACCAATACGGTACCACAGGTCTAAATGGTATTGTCATATTACCATTTAGACTTACCATATAGTAATTTACTATACCATTTCCGCTAGTAATGAAACAATACAATGGTAATTGTGGCATTTATGGTATAGTGCCCAGCCCTAGTCATATCCTTGCTATTCAACATACATGAAAGAACTATTTTCTTTTATTATAACAACCAATATCATTAATAAGGCTGAATTGGCTCACATAGCCTCGAGGATGTAAACAAGTCTTATCAAAATTGTTGACTTAAACAGACCATGAGGGCACAAGGAGCTGCTCCTTAAAAGACCTATAGTTCCACACTAAAGGTGTGTTTAACTTTTAATTACCCCTTTTTCCAAAGGAATTTTTGGGGAAATCATCATTTTTTAAAACCGGCTTAACCTTAGAAAATAAACTTTTAAACACAAAAATTAAAGTAAAAAAATAAGTGGTTGCAAAAGAAATGACTCTAATGGTGGATGGAGAGTCTTTTCTGATCAAGGTATCAGAGGAGGAGTGTCGTATGGATCCGGACTGGTGGCTGGCCAGTGAACGGAAGAGCTCCGATGCGAGGTTGGACGTGTCCGACATGGAGTGTGATAATTCCGATGACCGTTACAATGAAGGTGACGATAGAGCAATTATGGCCGAAGATTGTGCAGAAATGGAAGTAGAATCAAATCTGAGTTTAAAACATAATTTTGTTCAAAATTTTGAATTAAATGGGCTAGAGATGGATGGGCTGGGTAATGTGGGCTCGTTTGGGCCAAGGGTTTGTGAGGCTGAGGAACTGGATGTAGAAAATGGGTCTTGTGAGGGGCTTAGGCCTGTTGGAGTGCAACAGAAAGGAGCTGCTTTGTCGACTAAAAAATGTAAAACATTGGGGGACATTTATGCTAGGGATGGGGTAGCGAAGGAAACAAGGGAGTTGGGGCTGCAGTGGGTGACGGCAAGAACCAGATGTAGGAAGGAAAGAAGGGAAACAGCAAGACAATCGGAGCAAGGGACGGAATCACGGAAAACTGATCTACCTTTGTTAGATGGCTGTATTCAAAATCGCAACAAGCTGATCCGGAAGCAACTGGAGTTGGATGAGGTATGGAGGCTGTTTGGGTTGGGGAAAAGATTGGGGATTCAATGTCAGAATAATGAGGAAGAGGTGATTTCAAGATTGGCGGCTTTGGAAGGACGAGATGAAGCCAATTTTAAAAGGACCTGAAACTCGGGTGGTGTGGAGTTTTGCTGAAACGTGTGAGTTGAGTTTTTTATCATTATGAAGTTTATTTCTTTTAATGTTAGGGGATTGGGTAATGGGTTGAAAAGGAGGGAGATTCTTAAGTTAGTTAAAAAGGAGAATCCAGATTTTTTGTTTCTTCAAGAAACTAAATTGGAAGAGGTTGAGGAGTCTTTGTGTCAGGTATTGTGGAACTCAGAAAATTTTGATTGGGTTATGCAAAAATCAATGGGTAACTCAGGGGGCTTGTTGTGCATTTGGAATAAAAGCTGTTTTAGTAAACAATGTGTGATAGATGGGAGCAGCTTCATTGGGGTTTCTGGTGAATGGAGTAAGGAGAAGATAAAATGTAATGTAATTAATGTGTACGCTCCTTGTGATAGGCAAAGGAAGGTTTTGTTGTGGGAGGAGATTGCTGGACAAGTTTTAGAAGAGGGCGGGTGTTGGCTGTTAGCAAGTGACTTTAATGCTATCCGGAATGTATCAGAACGAAAGGGTAAAATGAGGGAGACACAGAATATGCAAGATTTTAATCACTTTGTGGAAAGCACAGGTTTAATCGATGTTTGCTTGCGAAATAGAAAATTTACATGGTATAGACCGGATGGATCCTCCATGACTAAACTTGACAGATTTTTGATGTCTACAGAAATGAGTTTAATGGCCACGGATTGGGTTCAAGAAGGTGTGGCAAGTTTAGTTTCTGATCATTGTGCAATAATTCTGAAGGCAAGGAATGCAGATTGGGGTCCAAAGCCTTTTCGGGTAATGGATGCATGGCAGCAACACCTAGATTTCAGAAGTTTGTAGAGGATAAGTGGACAGCTTTGCAAGTTGAAGGATGGGCGGCTTATAAATGCAAGCAGAAGTTGAAGTTAATGAAGGATGAATGTAAAAGGTGGAATAAGGAAGTTTTCAGTAATGTGGAGACTCGATGGGGGATATTATCAAAGGAAATTAAAGCGCTGGATATAAAAAGTGAAGAGATTGAATTAGATGAGAATGAGGTGTTACTCCAAAAGGAGTGTTTTCAGGAGAGGTGGGAAATTTTGAGGAAAAGAGAGGCTATGTGGAAGCAGAAGGCAAGAAACAATTGGATTCGTCTTGGAGATGCAAATACTGCTTTTTTCCATAGGTGTGTTCATGCACGGAGAGCACAAAATGCAATTTCAAGGATCTTAGGAGAGGCTGGGTGGGTTGAGGAGCCAACAAGGGTGAAAGAGGAGGCAGTGAGGTATTTTAGTCAGTTGTTTCATAATGAACAGTGGAATCGGCCAGTGTTGGGAGGAGTTCATTTCAACAGAATATCAGTTGCACAAAAGGAGTGGCTGGAAATCCCTTTTTCAATAGAGGAGATTGAAGAGGGTCTATAGAGCTATGATGGGGCGAAGGCGCCAAGACTAGATGGGTACAATTTTAATTTTATAAAATTTGCCTGGAGCACTTTAAAAGAGGATGTTGTGAAGTTTTTGTTGGAATTTCACCAACATGGGAGGTTAGTAAAAGGTTTAAATTCCTCTTTTTTGGCTTTAATTCCTAAAAAGGTAAATCCAGTGCATTTTAAGGAGTATAGACCCATTAGCTTGATTGGTTGTTTATAAAAATTACTGGCAAAAATACTGGCGAATCGATTAAAAATGGTGATGGCAGATATCATTAGTGATTCACAGTCAGCCTTTGTGGGTGGTCGGCAACTAGCAGATAGTGTGCTGATCTTGAACGGGGTGGTAGATGAGGTGAAACAGTGAAAACAAGAGAGTTTTATCTTTAAGGCTGATTTTGAGAAAGCTTATGATTGTGTGGATTGGAACTTTCTTGATTGGATGATGGAACAAATGGGGTTTGGAATTAGGTGGAGAAAGTGGATTCATGAATGTCTTTCGACAACTCGGATATCTATTTTAATAAATGGAAGTCCGACAAAAGAGTTCTCCATTGGCAAGGGTCTTCGTCAAGGAGATCCATTGTCCCCATTTTTGTTTTTGTTAGTGGGTGAAGGGTTGTGTGGTATGGTTAGAAAAGCAGAGGCAGAAGGGCTTTTTAGAGGAGTCAAGATTGGAGAGGGTGGTATGGTTGTGTCTTTGTTATAGTTTGCGAATGATACTATTTTTATGGGAAAGGCAAAAGCAGAAAATTTAAGGACAGTGAAGGCTATTTTACACTGGTTCGAATTAATTTCGGGATTGAAGATCAATTTTTGCATGAGCCATTTATACGGGTTTAATGTTACAGAAGGGTGGTTAAATGGTGCAGCTAATATTTTGCATTGTAAGATAGGAATGATGCCTTTTATTTACCTTGGTTTGCCGATTGGAGGAATGTTGGGGAGGAAAAAGTTTTGGGTTTCATTGCTGGACTGTTTTCGAAATAAGCTTACCGCCTGGAAATGTTCACTGCTGTCCTTTGGAGGTTGAATTACCTTGCTCAACTTGATACTTTCTGCTCTTCCTATTTTTTATATGTCGTTATTTAAAATTCCAAAATGTGTTGTGGTTGAGTTAGTTAAGATTCAGAGGGATTTCTTTTAGGGTGGAGCAAATTTGGAGAGGAAAATTGCATGGGTAAGTTGGGATCATATTTGTGTGGAAAAGGAGAGAGGGGGTTTAGGAGTGGATGATTTAAAGAGGAGAAACTAGGCTTTATTGGGTAAGTGGTGGTTTAGGTTAGGTGATGGTGTAGGGGGATTATGGAAGAGAGTGATTTGGGAGAAGTATTACGGGGGTCGAAAGGAGGTTGATATTAGTTCTTTCAGCTCCTTGCATATGTCTCGAGTGTGGAAGGACATTGTGGGTGTTGGTAGTGAGTCAGAGAGGTTGGGTGTAATGTTAGGAAAAGGCTTTAAATGGGAGATTGGTGATGGAAGTCGAGTGGCTTTTTGGGATGATAGGTGGGTTGGTGATAAACCGTTAAAGGATGTATTTCCGAGATTGTATGCGTTATCGTTGACCAAGGGGGGGCTATTGAAGGATATGGGATTTTAGAGTGAGGGCACATGGGTATGGGATTGTAGATGGCGACGAAGCTGTTCCAGGAGGGTTGGTGAGGAGGAAGAAAGGTTTAGGGAGATTATTAATAAGATCAAGGTAAAGGAGAATAAAGATGATTCATGGAGATGGGCTCATAGCACTGATGGTGTTTATTCTGTTAAGGATGCATATGGGTTTTTAGCTCCTAAGGATGATCTTTTGGATGCGAAATGGGTGAGAATTATTTGATGTAAGTTTGCTCCATCTAAAGTGAGTGTTTTTGGGTGGCGATTATTTTTGGATAGGTTGGCAACTAAGGATAACCTATATAAGAGAGGGATTGCACGGCTGGTGGGGGATGTGAGTTGTGGATTATGTGGGGAGGGAGTGGGTCAGGTAAATCATATTTTTTGTGAGTGTAAAAGAGCTTGGTTAGTGTGGATGAAGGTGTTGCGATGGTGGGGATTACAGGGGGTTTTGTCGTAAGACATTTTTGGTTTGGCAGAATTCGTGACGCATGGTATTAGTGGAGGTTGTTTGGCGGATTTAGGGGCTTTCATGTTTCTGATTGTTGCTTGGTTTATTTGGTTTTGGAGGAACATGCAGGTATTTGGAACAAAGGTAATGTCTGAGGAGTTAGTTTTGGAGTATATACAACATAAATCATTTTTATGGCTTAAAAATAAAGAGAAAGGATGTGTTTTTTCTTATCAAAAATGGGTCTCATGTCCGATGGAGTGTGGGGCAGCCATTACTCAGCATCGTAATAATCGGAAAATATATCACATGCGGCAACGAGATGTGGGATGATTTTACTGCACTTAATTGTTGTTGTTTCATGTACTAAATCGTCAACTCCTAGATGCTGGTTCTGGGCTTCAAGTGTGATTTCATGTGATTTCATTTGAACATTTTACTTGATAGTTGTAGTTTCATTTTGGGGTATTTCTTATACTCCTGATTAATATACATCATTTGTTTCGCTGATCAAAAAAGAAAAAAGAAATGAAAATGGTTATTATGGATAATAACGAGTTATAGATCAATATAAGCAACCACATTAGGGAGAATGCATTTCCTCGTAAAAAATCTTGGATTTAGAGTACGTACATAAGCGGTTATTATTTTTTTTAATTGGTTATATTGTTTTCAGAAAAATCCAAGTAAGAAGTAATTCTCTATATTTATATTGAACCAATTTTTTTTTTTTTTGGATATTTTACCCTTTTTTATCTTACACTTACTCATTTTTATATGTATTTATATACTATGTAGTGGTGATTAACTCTTCTTTTTATGCAATTACAATGATAATAAAATTTTACCACATAGCCCCTCACTTAGGTTGACATTTTCAAAAAATGTAGAAAAATAGATTTTAAGTAGCTTAAAAAGTACATGAACTAATACACCCTTTTTGTTATTTTTTTTCTAGTAGTTACAATTGTATTTGGCAAACCCCCTAATTTCATCCTTTAAAGAGGAGGGTAGAGACAAATCCACCCTTAAAAAAATACATAGATAAATTGTTTTTTTAAATTATTAATTAAAATAAATTATTCATTATTTAACATGTAACGTCGTCACATGTCACATGTAAGCTTTCTATTAAAAAAATGCTTATGTGATAAATGGATTTTTAATGTGTAATGACACCACATATTAAGTAATAGATTATTTGTTTTAAGCGATAATTTAAAGGAAAAATTTGTCTTTACCTTTTTCTTTTTTTTTTTTTTTTTGGCGAATTTATTGTTACCCACTTATTTGAGTAGCAGATTTGGGAGCTCTGCCATTGTATTGCTTGACATTTGTGGTCTTTGGCCTAGTTTAATAGCACCAAATATTGACAAATTAGTGAAAGACAGAGATAGTGGTCTGAGGGCAAGCACGATTCAATTTTGGTCATAATTGAAACTGAATTATTGGTTAATTGCAATTTTAAGTTTTAAATTTTAGTAACCATTAACCAAATTGTAAAAGACATGATTTATCAATTTTGGTTACATTTTTTAAAGTAACCATTTGAATTGGTTTCAATTTTAACCAAACAATTATTTTTATATTTTTAGTGATTTTTTAATTTTTTTAATTATTATTTTATTAATTTCAATTACTAAAAAAATTAAACATTATCCAAATAAATAAGTAATTTAGTAAAAAATAGTTAGAAAACCTTTAAAAAATCTAAAAATCATTAAAAAACTAATATAAAGGTTTTTAGTTTGAAATTTTTTTGTTATACTCACCCTAGTCATTTGTTTTTTAATTTTTAAACTTAGTAACTAAAATTCAAACAGTTTAAAATTAATTTGATTTAATTTTTAGTGAAACAAAATCAAAACCTAATTAAACTTGTTGGTTAAGAATTAATCGGTTTTAAATTCTTTTCGGTTACAAATTTTTTGGCCCATCTTAGATATGAAGATTTTTTTTTTTTTTTTATTTTCTTGTTAACGCTGTAGGGATGCGGCATGACATGGTTTTGATGGCGAAATCTATCCTCTCTTAGTCCTAGACCCGTGTCTCTAACAATCCCAACCCAACACTGTTCCTAGACCCGTGTAAGCTAGAGAACTAAACAAAGTCTTCGTCTTCGGTACCACTCTACTCCTAGTCTTCTGAGTGCCTGTTTGGCGTGGATTGTGGGAAGAGCTTTTTGGCTCTAAAAGCACAAGCCACACCAAACAGGGTAGCTTCTTAAGGTGTCTGCAGTTTTTGAGAAGCTCAGTTTCTCACTTTTCCTTTGCAAAGGCCGGAAGCTCCCGATTCTTACTTTCGCGGGAGCTACTCGCCTAAACATTTAATGAAATTGACATAGCATTCCTATTTTGTCCTTACACTTCTTTTTATTTACAAAAAAAACCAATATATATAGGTTCCAGTTATAACATCCCACCGTTCCTTTCTCGCGCAGCCCAGGTTGATGTGTTTCTTCCTGTCTTCTTAACCCTCTTCTTCCTCATCCAACCATCTTCTTCCTCACCCAATATCCAACCATCTTCTTCCTCATCCAACCAGACACCTAGGATTATTACCAAAAAAAAAAAAAACCAGAGACCCAGGTGCTGGGTTCGCCACGAACCCAGTGAACCCAGGTGATGGGTTCTCGGGGGCAAACCCAGGTGGCGCTGGGTTCGCGCGGGCAAACCCAGGTGGCGCTGGGTTCGCGCGGGCGAACCCAGTGCTGGGTGCTGGGTTCACGGAGGCGAACCCAGGTGTTGGGTGCTGGGTTCGTCGACGAACGTAGAGGTAAAAAAAAGAAAAAAAAAAAAAACAACCGAAGGAAGAAGAAAGGGGAAATAAAACAAGTACTCTGATCAAACAATAATATTTTTAAAATGGGTAGGCGGCAGAAACAAAAAAAAAACATTTAAAATATATATATATAATAATTATGTAATTAAATGATGTTTAAAATTATATTAGATAAAAAATTTAACTGTGTTATTAATTTTT